TCATAATTTATCTCTATGTCTTTCTTCGATTATCGCTTGGTCTGATTCTATGTGTCTTAAACTTAATCCTTCTAAGTTTGAATTAATTTGTTTTAATAAATCTAAACACTCAATTACTATTCCTCCTATTATCTTACCTGATTCTAAAACTCTTGATGTCTCTCATAAGTTTCGTAGTCTAGGTTTTATCTTTGATTCTACTATGTCTCTCTCTTCTCAGATTAATAGTGTTGCTAGGAGTTCTTACTTTCATCTACGTAGAATAAAAAAACTTTTGCCTTTTCTTGATGATCCTACTCTTCTCCTTCTTGTTACTTCGTTAGTCTTATCTAGGATTGATTATTGTAACTCGCTCTACTATGGTCTTCCTGACTCTATACTCTATCCTTTAAGTAAAGCTTTTAACTCTGCTGCTCGTCTAGTTGCTCGTGCCCCTTTCTTTTCTCATATATCTCCATATCTTGTTCTCTTGCACTGGCTACCTATAAAATATAGAATAATTTTTAAAATTTGCATGTTCATGTATAAGTCTCAATCTAAATTATTTCCTAAGTACTTATCAGATATATTAATTGAACCTAAACGCCCCGGTTTACGATCGTCTTCTTCTTCTCGCTTTTTCTTAACTCGTCTTAAACACTCTTTTGCCAAATCTGCTTTTGCTTTTTCTGGTCCTTTTCTCTGGAACTCTCTACCTACTTCTCTAACTATTTCTCCATCACTTGCGAAGTTCAGAGCGGATCTCAAGACCCATCTGTTTTCAAAATTCATTGAGGAGCGCTGTTGAACATCGCGGAAATAGCGCTTTATAAGCTAATTGATTGATTGATTGATTGATTGATTGATTAAAAAATCCATGCATTAACATTCATTTTTACTTTTTTACTAATTTTAAAATTAATAGAATGTAGATAGAAATGTAAAAACATTAAAGAAAGGCTTTGCTAAGAAGTTTATTTGCTAAGAATATTCTAACTAAGCTAAGTACCAATTTTCAACTGTTAAACTTTAGTAGTCTCTTGTTTTATTTTGTAAATTTCAATCACTAAATGTTAAATTTGTTTCAAAAACCAGTTAGATCTTTTTAATTTAAATTTATTAATTATACCCTAAACCGCTTTTTATTGTTTTGCTTTATGTTTTATTTTAACTTCTGTTATATTGGTTAATAATAAAAAATATATATATTAAATTATTTTCCATCTTTTTAATTTAATAAAAGGTCAGTCCTAAAAGGTGTGCGGATTCGCACGGCGAACACTCCGCTGAGATGCTATAAGGCGTGCGAACACGCCGTTGAGATGCTATAAGGCGTGCGAACACGCCGTTGAGATGCTATAAGGCGTGAGAAATCCGCACGGCGAATTGAATGTGTTAATGCTATAAAGCGTGAGGCCGCACGGCGTTTTAGACGTTGAGATGCTATAAGGCGTGCGAATCGCGGGTAAATACGACGTTTGAAATTATAAATCGTGAGGCACCAGCACGTCGAATTCGACGTTGAGATGCTACAAGGCGTGCGAATCACGAGCGGGCGAATACGTTTTAACGGTGTAAAGCGTGAGAATCGCACGACGAATTCAACGTTAAGATGAAAATAGAAAATAACCCGCACGGCGAATTCGACGTTGAGATGCTATAAGACGTGCGAATCACGAGCGGGCGAATACAACGTTTAGACGTTTGAAATCATAAATCTTGAGAAACCCGCACGTCAAATTCGACGTTAAAATACTATAAGGCGTGCGAATCACGAGTGGGCGAATACGACGTTTAGACAGTGAAATGCGTGAGAATCGCACGACGAATTCGACGTTGAGATGGCCGAAGTTTGTAAAACAAAGTTTATTTTGACGATACAGGACGCAGTCAAAGCGCAAAATTTGATGTTTATTAAGACAATATAAGGCATTTTTGTTATAGAATGACAATTTTTAAAATAAAAAATTTATTATATCATGTGTCATATAGTAACACACACAGACAAACACACATATTTACACAGTAATGCACATGGGTACATTGTTCATGTGTTAAGACGAAACAGTTACCAAAAGACCTAAGATAGTTATATTAACACTGTTGACAAAACCATGGTCCTTCGGTAACCTTTCCATTTCAACACATGAACAATGGTACCAGTTTATGCAGTCATCACAATGCACCCACGAAGTACGAGTTAGGTTGTCTCTTCCAGAGTGATGTCCACAAACAACAAAAATTGACCATATCTTATTTTCTAATTTAGACTATGCTTCATTGGAAAAATATTGTTTCAAAGTGGACATATCAGCACGGTAATCTGTGCATCTTGGATCAATTATTTCTTTAACGTCGTTAATTGATGCTACGCAATCCGTCTGAACACAGTTTTTGGCTGTTTCTTCAAATAAAACCCATGAGTGTCTGAGTTTAATTTTTTAAGGTATTATTATCACTAACAGCATACAACAATAAACAAAAGTTTATTATCACTAATCATTATTAAATATTTCAATTTAATTTTTATTACTACCTTCCGATTTTTGCAGTATGCCACATAAACTGCTGCAGTGCAACCACACAACAAGGATGCCTGGTTAGGTCGTGTCCCAGTTTTTTCAAATTTGCAGACGGTTTAACATTTCCATAGTGCTTACAGACCCACCTAATGCAATAACCATTGTCGAATATACAAAAATTAACATTGTATACAAATATAAAATATTCATAATAATTAAAATTAAGGCTTGAAAATGTTTTAAAAATATAAATACAACTTCTGACTGTATTGCATATCTGGTCAAGATCAATAATTTTGGCGCTTTCCAGAATACATTTTTTGTAAAATTTTTAACTTTTTCTTTAGTGTCACGCTTCATTGGATGGTAGTTTTTTTTAAAAACTTTTTATCACATCAACGGCTTTTTCAACATTCACAAATCCATCTCCCAACTTTAATGACTCGGAACCCAATTTTTCAAATTAGAGTGATGAAATAACAAATTTAATTTCATTTAATTAAATTAAACCAAACAAAACAATAAAAATCAAACGAATCTTCAAAAGCCTCCACGCTCACAACTGAAGGAAGAAGAAAAATGAACTCTTGCCAAAGATAATAAATAAAAGTATTCTGAAGATCTAACAGTATTTATTAAAAAAAAAATTTTTTTTTAATTTATTCTTAAATGTACGTAACGGAAATTTTTACTAACACTTGTTAAAATAATATTAGGCATACAAAAAATTTTTTGAACATATTTTTTCGTTCGCACGCCTTACAGCAGTCTAACAAGTTCATGGTCGGCGTGTACGCCCAATAGACTTGTGCTATAGGGCGTGCGGAATCGCACAGCGAATACGCCGCTGAGATGCTATAAGGTGTGCGGGTTGAACGTGTTAATGCTATATAGCGTGAGGCCGCACGCCGAATTCGACGTTGAGATGCTATAAGGCGTGCGAATCACGAACGGGTGAATACGATGTTAGAAATTATATATCGTGAGGAATCCGCACGTCGAAATGTTATAAGGCGTGGGAATCACGAGTGGGCGAATACGACGTTTTGACGGTGAAAAGCGTGAAATTCGCACGCGAATTCAACGTTGAGATGGCCGAAGTTTGTAAAACAAAGTTTATTTTGACGATACAGGACGCAGTCAAAGCGCAAAATTTGATGTTTATTAAGACAATATAAGGAATTTTTGTTATAGAATGACAACTTTTAAAATAAAAAATTTATTATATCAAGTGTCATATAGTAACACACACAGACAAACACACATATTTACACAGTAATGCACATGGGTACATTGTTCATGTGTTAAGACGAAACAGTTACCAAAAGACCTAAGATAGTTATATAAACACTGTCGACAAAACCATGGTCCTTCGGTAACCTTTTCATTTCAACACATGAACAATGATACCAGTTTATGCAGCCATCACACTGCACCCAAGAAGTTCGAGTTGGGTTGTCTCTTGTTTCAAGGTGGACATATTAGCACGGTCATCTGTGCATCTTGGACCAATTATTTCTTTAACGTCGTTAATTGATGCTATGCAATCCGTTTGAACATAGTTTTTGGCTGTTTCTTCAGATAAAACCCATGAGAGTCTGAGTTGATCTTGCGCAGACAGACACAAATTTTCAAATGTAAGTTTGCGTTGTTGAAACAGTTGTTGTTTCCTTTTTGCTGGACGTCCTTTGCGCTTGATAGCAACAAGATACAGAATGTTTGAATTGGCAGCTTGTCCATTTTCTAACCTGTAAGTTATCAGCAATATCATCTTCTATGATTACTGGTTGACTGCCACTGGCCACATGATCTGCAACATTCTCCTGTTCACTGCTGCTTGATACGTCATCTTCAACAGCCTGGTAATTTAATTAATTATTATTATGTCATATATTTTTAACTACTTGCATATTGTTTTTTGACATAGTGATATAAAATGTACTGTTGCAGACTAATTGGATTTGTCAGTGTGATTTGTAATGTACTTTTTTGACTATCTATCTACCAAGTAAATTAATAAAACAAACAAACCAACCAACCTCAATCTCAACAACTGAAGGAATGTCTTGCAAAAAAGAACTTTTTCCCATGACCCATCTTTTGCCTTAGCCTCGACATCCTTCAACCAGGCGAACGCTTTTAAAAATTTGCTTTCTGGCAACTCTGATGCAAATTTGCAGACGGTTTAACATTTCCATAGTGGTTACAAACCTCCCTAATGCAATACCCATTGTCAAATATACAAAAATTAACATTGTATAAAAATTTTAAATATTTATAATAATTGAACTTAAGGCTTGAAAATATTTTATAAATATAAAAACAACCTCTGACTGTGTTGCAAATCTGGATCAAGATCAACAATTTTGGTGCTTTCCAGAAAACATTTTTTGTTAAAATTTTTAACTTTTTTTTACTGTCAACCTTCATTGAACAGTAGTTTTCTTTAAAAAAAAACTTTCTATCACATTAACAGCTTTTTCAACATTCATAAATCCATCTCCTAACTTTAATGACTTGGAACTCATTTTCTCAAATTAGAGTGATAAAATAACAAATTTAATTTTATTTAATTAAATTAGATCAAACAAAACAATAAAAATCAAGCGAATCTTCAAAAGCCTTGCCGCTTACTACTGAAGGAAAAAGGAAATTGAACTCTTGCCAAAGATAATAAATAATAGTATTATGATGCGCCCCAATAAAAATTTATTTTAAAAAATTTTTTTAATTTATTTTCAATTGTAAGTAACGAAAATTTTTACAAATACTTTTTAAAATAATATTCGGCATAAAAAAATTTTTGAACATTTTTTTCGAATGCACGCTTTATAGCAGTCTAACAAGTGTAAAACGTGAGATAGGTACTCCTATGGTATCGTCCATGTTTACAAACAATCATAATGTACTTTTAATAAATTAACTCCGCCCATTTTGAATTATCTAGCGCTTGATTATTTATTTATATCTAATTGAAAATAATTTAGTTAGGTAAGTTTTTTAGATCATTACTTGTTAAATAGTTGAAACAGTGAACATTAAATAAAAAAAAGTTAAAATATGAGTAAATTTCTGTTTTGATAACTGATAAC